GGTTTTCCTGGGTCTTTTCACTTGTGTTATGAATAAATCTTCTTTTTTTCGGTACCGGTACTAGTTTTATTTTGTTGTATTTATCCGCGACACCTTAAAGGCCGGTCCGTGAAAATATTGTCGGGCATAAACCGGTCCATGGCGCAAAAAAGGTTGGGGACTGCTGTCTTAGGCCATTCCTGGGCAGTTTTTAATATGGCAGAGTGCTTGGGGGTCCTGGGGAAGGCCACCATTGTCAGGTGTTGCTGTTATCATGATGATGGTTGGTTAAGCAAAAATATGCATGGATGATTACACTTCTATAAGAGAGCTACCACATAGCCAACTCACAAGTACCTGTTTTACAAACCTGAATATGACAACTATTGTCCCTATGAGGAATTGAACAAAACCAAAAACATCCAGTTACCAGCAAAGCAAACTGTAAAATATGTAAAAAAAATAAATAATGTGATCTACATGAATACCAGCAGAACATCCTAGCAGAACATTGCAATGTTGCATTGTAACAGGATCATCCATGTTATTTTGTTCATCTCAATGATTTTGTTGTTGAGGTTGAATGTTGTATATACAATTGAATCTTGAATTATGTTATGAAAGCTTTCATTTGTTTTATCCTGCAGGATCAGTCCCAGTGAATGGGCTGAGCCAGACACAGAAGAACACAGTTTCACTTTGCTGCACAGCTTCTGGTACATTACAGGAGCTCTCACCCTGCAAGGTATTGCAGCAGTCCACTAAATTAAAGCACAGAAATGCACTCTTCTGCTGCTTGCCACTTTCTACATGCCTTAAGACAAATATGTAGTAACATGTTTTACGGTACACGGATCATTTTGTAATACCTATAGAAAGAGATCAAATAAGGAAAATGAAAATGACAAGTTCCACATGCATAACAATTCAATGTAGTATATTGAGACTTGTATCAATGTCTGCATATAGTCAACAACTGAATGTCAAGTAAAATAAAGAAGTTACAATTCGCTAGTATTATGTGTAAATGTGTGATGGCTGTAGTGCAGGAGTTAGACCACTTCATCAGGTAATCAGAAGGTTGGTGGTTTAATTCCTGGCTACTCCAGTCAGAATGCCAAAGTGTCCTTGGGCAGGTTAGATAGAAAAATGTGCTTGTATGAATGAGTGAATGAGGCAAGTTGTTTGAAGTGCTTTGGATGCATAAGTTGAGTATAAAGTTGCTCTCTAAATATCAGTCAATTCAGCATCTACTTTTCATTTTCACATTGAGCTGGGGGTATTTTATTAATAAGAAACTGCAAATAAAGTTTGCATTGAAAAATAAAGCTGTTTTTAAATAAACTGCTTACTAATAACTAACAGGAGTAGTTAGGATTCCCTCTTTTTTTTTCTCAAGTTTATTTGACATGTAAAAACTTCACAGTAGCTTTAACACTTCTTTTCTCACTCTTCATGTTGCTCTCAGTAATGATTTGATTGGCTATGTAATGAATAGTGAAGGGTGCAAATGACTAATCTGTGTATATACACTGACTACTGTAAAGACAAAAGGAAAAATCTATGCTTTTTAAAATAACCCTGCTGTAAATATGAGAGAATTGTGCAGAGTGAAACAGCATAAAAATATCAGTAGAAAATATATATTTCAAGTAGCTGAACATCAAGAGTAGGCTCTGTTTGAATAATATAAATACATTATTTTCCGTTGAAACTGCAACTCTGTTTCTTGGTTGATTGTTTGTCACCTTCTGACTGCTTGACCACTTTCTTTGTCCTCTCAGGAGCCGGTCCTCACCCCAAGGCATTGTCTGGACGTGTAGTCAGTGCCATCTGGTGGCTGTTTTCTGTATTGCTGCTTGCCTGCTACCTCTGCAACTTAAAGTCTGCGTTGAACTCCAACAGCAAACACATCTCCATTAAGAGCTTTGCAGACCTGGCTAACCAGGATGTAATCAATTACGGCACAATTGAATCTGGATCTACTATGCTCTTCTTTAAGGCATGATCAGTTACTCCTAGTTAGCATTCATAGTCATTACTGCTGCTACATAACATATGGGAAAGGTTCAATAAACATGATAAATATTTTACTTTACTTTCCTAGAATTCCAACAATCCTGTGTACCGGCGTATCTACCAGCACATGGAGCGTAAAAAAAGCTATGTGTCCAATGCAGAAGAAGGTATACGCCGCACACAGGAAGGAAACTTTGCATTTATTGGTGAAGCAGTGTCCTTGGACTTGGCAGTGGCTCGGTACTGTAAACTGACCCGTTCACCAGAGGTCATCTCTATGCGGTCCTACGCCATAGCAGCACCTCTAGGTGAGTTGCTTGGATCTGTCAGGATCCTGCTTTCTAGCTTTCTTCTTTGGTGGCCCACACATGGGCCAGCACAAGGCCAGTTGCAGACACACTGCTGGCCCTGTGCTGGCCCAGAACAGTTTCAGCTCTGGCCCCAGATGTCAGCTTTAATGTGTACCTTAATCAAGCCATGTAATAACAACATGTGCCGGAACATAATAGTGCAAAACTAACATGATGAAACTCTGTTCAGACACTGAATCAACTGATTCTTATATAGCCCTTTTCTAGTCTCCCAGATTACTCAGAGTGCTCTATACAACATGCCACATTGACACACTGGCTGTATCCCAATTCAGGTTCTGCAAGCCTTAAAGTACACAGCCTTAACGGTCCACAAGGGCCGCACACTCAAAGACTGCTAAGGCCGGAAGTGTAAGGCTTGTGAAATGGGACGGTCTAGCTCCCATCGCGCTGCCCAGGTTGCCTAGCAACTATGATACTAACAGCTGGAAACGTTTCATACAGCATCGTTTGACAGAAATGAAGGAGAAAAGTTTTTCTGTTAGTTCATTTTGTTTATCACATCACTTTGATTTGATAAGTATCTGAGGCTGAGACCACAGGACTGTAAAAACATGATTGTTGGGCTTCATTTCTGTACTGAACAGTCATTTTAAGATTAGCTAGTTAATAACAATTAGCTAATGTTGTTCATGAGACTAAAGTCATCTTACTTTGGTAATGTAAATATAATATGGCCAATATCAAAGTTATTGTTATATTAACCATTATTAGTTATTACAGCAGTGAACTTGAACTCTGTGTCAAATACTGAGCTTCAGTAAAGATTCAAGTTGCAGTTATTTATATTTCCTATCACCTTAAATCTTCACTCAAAGACAAGCATCTTTGACAGTGTGTATATAGATATATTAAATATAATAGGCAAATGCTGTTATTTTATTAAAATGGCATTACTAAATTTGGCTCAATGCTTACATATATGTGTAAAAAGAAAATGTACGAGCAGTGATAACTGTTTCTGATAGAATGAAGAGTAGACTGATATATTGAATATTCCTTTATTGGGTGAGAAAATCATACCATGTCATAGCTTCTTTAAGTCATACAGAATAGATATCAGAGCCTTAAAAAGGCTGACTTCTGCTAAACGGGTCAAACTGGGCAGAAAGTATACCGAAAGTATATATCATAACATCTTTATAGAATATGATGTAACACTATAGACCAACTTACCTCAGAGAATATATAAAGCATATAAACGATTATGATGCAACAAACACAGCAGTACTAATCCAAAATACTCAAAGCTTCATAGAACTGAAACAAAGATTTATTTTAGGTCCATTCTGCTGCTGATACATACTTTAGGTTTCTGAATATTAAACTTGTTGCTGCCTTTCATAGTGTGTAACTTGAAGGCCCTGAGTA